GCCCTCTCTGCTGATTTTAATGGGGTCTTTTTGTTTTTGGATGTCTGAATCAGTGTTGACACCTGGTGGCTGCTGGACAAGTCCCTGCAGCTTTCTTGGCAAGATTTCAGAAGTGGGTTGCCATTGCCTTCTTCCCAAGGCTAAGCAAGAGTGACTAAGTCATCCACCTGGCTTTGCGTCAATGCCTAGACCAGAACTCCTGGTCTCCCAGTTTCTAGCCTGGTGCCTTGAAAGCAAACTGATTCCTCTGATTGGTTTATTAGTCCATTCTAAGTGACTGAAAAGTAGTTTTCATATTAGCTTGATGTAAATTCAGTCCTTTTTCTCAGAGAACTATACAGCCATCCAGTCTACCTCGGTAATATCAACTTAGCACACGCTTTCTCTACTAGGAAAGATACTTCATAATAATAGTCCTACAGATGTGGAAGCAGTATCATAAATTTTATTCAAGCTTTATTATTCTAATATATGTAGATATTTGTAATAAATATGCTAGTGCCAGAGATCCCAGTGGAATGAGATCTCTTATCGGTACATGACATCCATCACAATGCGATCTAAGTCACAATTCAGTGACTGTCAGTGTTCTAAATATTCTTAATGATATAGAAGGGTAATTATCTCCTTTTTAAAAAGAGCATTTAGTTTGCTAATTTACTTTAATTCCTTCAAGAATGGAAACATAGTTCTAGCCATACATGCTGATAAAAATATTACTGTCTTTGATCTGCTACAGGTGTATTTCGAGGTGGTCATGACCTCTTGGTTCGTTCTCGCCTTGTCCTCACAGAAATTGTGACAATGCAAGTCACAGCTCGGAGTAAAGATGAACTTCCCGTGGATATTGTTATGGCTTCTGTTGGCTAAGCTCATTTTCAGGCTGTCTGTTTCAGACCCCAAGGCTGAAGGGAGAATTAGAGGTCTCTTTCTACTGCTCTGGACATTGGGAGAAATATTAGAACACTGGCACCAGTTCTTTCTCTAATTAGAAATGAAAGCTACGTGTGTAAGTTTATAACCACAAGAATGTTTCTGTGAAATACTGAATTGGTTATTTCTTCATGTTTGCCAGGCTACTTCAAAAGAACATCCCTTTTATACCAAGGTGCCTAATAACACTAAAGTAGTTGGCTCTAGCTCCTGTTTTAGTCACCGTGTGTCAGATTCCTTATGTGATTAGCCAGACTCTTTACAACTGGGGCAACTGTTATATTTCATGACCTTTCTAAACCCTTACATATATATTATAAAATAAAAATATGGATTTTATTCCAGCAACGCCGCTACTCTCAAGAATATGAAAATAAATACATTTTATCTCTTGCACAAATGATATTGAAAAGACATTCACAACACACAGGTCTAGTTGATTTGGTTGATTTATATCAAACTTGCCTTCATTTTCAAATTGTTAATATCATTTGTAGGCAGCTTGATTTGAAGAAGTCCTAGGGTGAAAAAGAATCAGGAATATGAATTTCAAAAGAAACTGGCAGATAATCTAGAGTAAAAAACCAGAATGAAAAAATGCTGAAGCATCCTTTATTTCAAATCATGTCATTTTTCTGTATTGATATTTAGAAAAGGTGATATTTAAGGAAATTGCTCATTTTCGTATTGCTTCATGTTTATAAAAGTTATTTGTTTCAGTAAAACAGCCTAAGTTGTTCTATGAGTGGGCATCTATTACTGTGGTTGGGTTTGATTTTGTAAAGGCTGATATTGTGCTTTGTTCTGTTCTGACGAGATTTTATACATAAATGTTGTGCCATATAATGAAAGAATAAACAATGTTTAACATTCTTATAATTTGCATAGCTAATTATCAGAGTTGTGATAAAATGAGGTGTACTACTAGATTTCAGTTCTTCATGGTTTTAGCAAAAATAGATTAGAATGGTGATATAAGATCATCCATTATGCTAATAATATATATTCAACAAAGTTTTAATCCAGTTTCTCCAACCTGATATCCCTCAAAGTGTAAGGACTTTATAAATTTTGTACTAGCTCTAGAATCATATAAATTAAGAACCTTATATTTTGTTTATTGCTGAATGGACAAGTTTGATGTTGAATGGATTATATACTGTGCAAACAAAACTAGAGTTTTTTCAGGGTTGACTGAAAATCTATCATGGATGTCCTGCAAAATTTAAATTTGAACTTTAAAAAATAATATCCATCAGATTAACAAGATATGACTTGAACAATATTCCATATTTGCCCTATATTATCTAATTCTAAAGAAAAGTAGGAAGAGGCAGAGAAATATATCTAAATAGTATAAAGAAGGATGAGAGACCATTTTACACAGGTATGAACATACTATATAATTACTACAAAGAAGATAGAGATCAACAAAGGTAAAGAAATGTTATTCATGTATGAATAACTATAAAAAAGACCACCCAAATTGCTGATAGACATAAAGCTAGACCCAGATATTTTGGAAATCGTAGTTAAATGGGTTCTACAATATATTGCTGACCACAAAGCTGCAAGAATTGATGAAATGCCAGCAGAACTGTTTAGAATAGAAGCCTCCAAACTTTTCAGCTTGTTGACTCTTTCATGAAATTTCAGATTGTTCATCAACCCCTAAACATTTATTATGTGAAAATACAATATTTGGATAGTCCCACAACCCATGGAGTCAATATTCACTACTTTGGGGAACCTTAGTTTAAAATCATGCAAAATTATGCAGTTCAATGTACTGCTTGTAATTGGTAAGCAGATATGGAAACAGTTGAGGTCAGAGAACTGAAAAAGATCAAGCTGTAGTCTAGTATCCAGTAAGGCAGTGTTAAAAAAGCTTCAGCTACCTCTATGTACTGCAGAATTTGTATGGTAATCAGCAACAGTAAAAATGGAATATGGAGCAACTAATTAGCTTAGAATTAAGAAAGGAGTATGACAAAGTTATATACTGTTAACCTATTAAACTTAAGTGCAAATATATAGAGTGAAATGCTGGACTAGAAAAAAATTAGCATTACAAATGTTGAAAGAAACACTACATTACTAACAACCTGAGGTGTGCAGAAAATTCCATACTGGCTGCTGAACAGACTTAAGAGCTATTTTGTTGAAGGTGAAAGAAGAACCTTCAACAAAAGATTATTTAAGTCTTTCTTGCTTCCAGTAACTGATACCACTAGCACATCTTTGGTTGCTAGTGCCAGCCCAATGCAAATGAGTGAAGAAATAGTAGTACAATGGTCTTTGACCTATGACCTTCACTTAGTGACTATTTGAAGTTATGGCAGACTCTAAAAAAGTTACATACTACCCAGATTCAAAATTGTGATGGCTGCCCCCCTCCCCATGGTCACATGACTGCATTTTGGATGCTCAGCAACTGCCCCACATTTATACCTATTTGCAGTGCTCTGCAGTCACGATTGTGATTTATTATATTTTTCCCAGAAATTTTACTTTTACTTCATTTCCAGCAAAAACTGCCCTATAGCAAACAGTGGTTTGCTTAATTGCTGCCATGTTCATGTAACAGCCACTGAAAAAAAATTTGTGAAATCAGACATGGTCACGTTAACTCATTTAGTGACCATCATGACTTATGATCGAAATTGCATGCTCAATTAGAGCTGTAAGTTAAGGACTGCCTGTAATATAGACTATATCTTTCTGGGCTCCAAAATTGAGATATTCACTTTATTATGAAATAAAAAGCATCTGTTTTTTGGGAGAAAAATTAACTAACATATCAATAAAACACCTGTATTAAAATTAAATCAGTAACGTTACAAGAAGTTGTCACTATTATAGGCCTATATTCAATTTGCATAGAAAATATCTTAGAAGTTGATGCATGTATCTCAAATATTAAAAGCATGTATCTTGCAGAATGCTGCCTCATCTATTCTGTGACATGGATAAAATATAATTTTTGTATCAACAATTTGCAAAACACTCTGAATGCAGACAAAATTAATTCACGGTGTAGGCTATAGACACTGAGTCTATTTTAAGGAAGTGTAGAAGTGAATGGGTGAAGTGTTAACTCTGTGCATCAACCCATGAACTGTTTTTTTCTGGGGCAAACAGAATAGTCACGATTTCATTTTATATGTTTTACACTTAAGCCAGTCCTTCTGAAGTTGTAATAAAACTATAGCGAGAGTTCTAAGGACACATTGAGGCATGCTTATTGAATATACTGGTTTGTTTAATTTTTAGAAATGATTATAAGAAAAAGTTGGCCACAAATTGACAACATGCATTTAATCATAACCTACAGTTACCATATCTGGTTTATAGACATATGGATGATCGTTGGTTGGCAGCTGAGTTAGAAATGTATATTCATATGTATTCAACGGTATTTTGCAGTCCAAAGTATTATAGTTCTGACACAAAGGTTACGCAGGGAGGTAGGATACTTCTGTAAAGCCTCTCCGAAGTAGAGAGAAATGACTTAAATATAGTGGATGATTATTAGTAGCTTTATATGTGATTGGAGAAGAATTCTCCTGTCTTGATTTCTGAACCGTAATTCCCCACCACCACCACCACGCCCTACAGATTCAAATTCGGAGTTCCAAAATTCGGTTTGGGAATGAAGTTTTGCTTTTCGAGCCGGAGCGGTGGAGGCAGATCAGACAAACTTGCAGCGCCGTCCAGGCTCGTTTGACATCAAAAATAAATAAATAAAAGTTTCCGGGATGAAGACCTGGAGGACGCGCATCTTTGCGGGGGGGGGGGGGGGGGGGGCCGCTTCGTTGCGCTGCAGTGGCGGGGGGGGGGGGTGGGGGAGAACTTGGTGCCCGCCGCGGAGCGGGGTGACTTCCGAGGCGGCGTTTCGAAAAACAAGCTGAGCCACAAACCGGAGCCCTCAGCCAGGCCGGATCGACCGACCGCCAGAAGCGGAGGGAGAGGAGCGCTGGAAGGCGGGAAAACTCGAAGGGAGGAGGCGCCTGTTTCCTCATCAAAGGAGCTTCCCTCTGGTCAGGATTGAATCCGGGAGACTGAAAGGGGCGGCGGTGGCGGGGATGCGGAAATGGCTTCTGACGTGCTAGGGAAACCTTGTGTGTAGCTGGTCCTGGTGAGCCCCTTCCTCTCAAACCTGGGAATTTCTCCGGTAGGAAAACAGCCTCGTCCCTTTTCTTGGTAGCTTTCTTTCATGCGCGGCTCAGGCTCCTTTGGGCGGCCGAACCAGGAAGGGAGAAGGAAGGAAGGAAGGAAAAGCTGAAGGTGTTGAAGGAGCATCTCTCCCCACGTTTCTGGCGTTTGGCGATTTATTGTCTGCATAAAGTTCCTCTCTTTTTTGATGGATCAGAGGACGTAGGTAGGGGATCTCCGGAGAAGAAGCTGAATTAATGATTTCCGTTGGTCTTGCCGGTAATAGTTAAGAGAACAGGGATTTCTTATCAAAATTGGCCTTTTCAGGTCGACTTTTTCAGGATGCAGATTAGCAAGAAAGAAAAATTAAGGCCTGACTGACCCGTCTGGAGGGTGCTGTTTCATCTATTTGTATCATGTCAGGCTGCTTTTACTCTTAAAGCTTATTATTCACTTATTAATAGCTGTGGAGTTTAGCAAAATCGGGGAAAATGAAGCAGCCAGACTGAAGAATTGAAGCATCAAGTAAAAAGTAGCTTTCTCATGCTGGGCTTCAGCCAGGGAGAGTGAGACCCTTCACTTTATCAGGCTTGGCCTCTTTTAGGTTAATTTCTGCTTTGTTGATTTAATTGTAATTTCTTTGATTGTTGTGAGCTGCCTAGAGTTATTGCAAGTTGGGCGGTATACAAGTTTAGTTAATAATAGGAATAATTAGAAATGTAGGAAGAGAATTGATTTCCAGATAAATATGTTCAATTTGCGATCTCCCCTGCCGGCTTCCCCATTGACTTTCTCCCTACAAGCATCCCCCAAGCCAAGTGAATAAGCAGGCCAGCAGGACGTCCTAAGTTGCTCCCTCTCTCACTGCTCTTTTGCTCACCCGTGGCCATTCGGGCTGATTGGTCAAGTTAGGTCAATATCTCTGAGATGATGACACAAAAGGGTTCAGGTTGTCTAGTATGTTCCTAAAACATTGTTTTGTAGGCCACTGTTTTGGGTGCACTCTGGAAGAATGTGTGGACGGACAGCTGTTACTCTGGGAGCAGATCGTATCCGCCGTGCCTGCGCTTATCACAATAATCGAGGAGAAAGAAAGTATCCTGAATGGCAAAATGCTGACAAATACAGCCCTTCGTTCAATAAGAGCCCACAATCTAACAGTCCTGTGCTTCTCTCCCGGCAACATTTTGAGAAGGTGAATTACTTCAATTGACTTATGTAACACAATCTTTTAAAAAATACAGGTAATCCTTGACTTGCAATGTCAATGTTTAGTGATCACCTGAATTACGATGGCACTGAAAAAGATGACTTACAGCTAGTCCTCGTATTTATGACCCTTATAGCATCCTTCTGGCCATATGATCAAAATCCAGGCACATCTGCCTCAGCTGTAGCATCCAGGGGCTATACGATTGCCGTTTGCGACCTCCCCAGTTGGCTTCCTACAAGCAAAGTCAAGGGAGGACTTCACTTAACAACAGCAGTGACTTGCATAATAACCATGGCAAAAAAAATGTCATAAAATTGAGTACAACTCACTTAACACCCACCTTGCTTAGCAATGGAAATTCTGGTCCCACCTGTGGTCATAAGTCAAAGACTACTTGAAACTGTTAGCTGCATTTAGTTTCTATTCTCAGACATTTTTACATTCATCTTACATCCTAGTTAAAGCTGAATTTTTATTAAAAAAAAATCACAAGCATATTTTGTCTGCTTTGTGGCATTTTGTAGAACTTTCGTTTTCTGTTATAGAAGCTACTTATAATTAATACTACATCTGTGATCTCAAGAGAAGCATTTTTTTAAAAAATAACAAATTAGACTTTTAAAACATTTTAGCCATGTTTTATTTGGGATATTAATGCTTATGATACCTTCCCTGAAGCTCTGAAAATAAAGCATGACAGTTTTCAAAGTATCTTTTATTTGCCTCCTATATCACTAAAATAGAACCTCCTATATCACTAATATAGAGCACTAAAATTGTCCTTCAAAATATTACTGGATTCCAAAAGACTAATCAGCCTGGTCAATATCACCCATTATCAGGGATAATGCAATCCATCTATTTGGAGATCCATATATTATCTTCCCTTATGATAAAATAAGGTCTTATTATTGCAAGAGAATATAATGTGAGGTTATGCTAATTCACAATGTGTATTCTTTTGGATATACAATTGTGAACCTACAAAAAAAAATAGATTTAGCGACATAAAATGACTTCTGGTTGAATATTAGCAAGAAAATCCTAATAAAAACATAAGAGCAGTTAAATGACTTGGGGAATGCTGGGCTTCCCATTAGTGCAGGTATTTGAAAATCTGAAAAATGCTTCAGAGAAGTTTTGACTTCAGGCCTACTTAGCAATTTTAAAGTTGTAAGAAATTTATTTTCAGGTTGTTTAAGAAAATGACAAGAAAATATTTTGTGTATCTCCCTCATATCAATGAGCTCCAATATATGCGTTGCTTGTAGGTATTGAGATGACTATGCCACAATTGGAATTATGCTCATTTACCCTCATTCCTGGATGAGTTCAAGCAAAGATTAGGCAGCCAACTGTTAGCAAAATTTGCAGGAGTTGTTTTTGATTACGTATGTAAGGTTTTCCGATTCTGTGAACGGCATATTCTTCTCATTAAATAAATCATAGTTTTAAAATTTGTGATAATTGTGAAAGTTAACTAAAATCTACATTTCAAAAAGTTGTTAATTACACCGTTATTCTGTAGAAATAATCAACCAGCAACTGCATATTGTATAAACAGCATCTCAGATAGTTCTTCCCCAATGCCATATAGCTGTATATATTTCTTGACTGGTAGACCTTGGATACATAAAATTATGTCTTGCACCAAAGAAATTGTGTGTGTGTAACTTTTTATTGAATTTAGTTGAAGCTATTAGATAAAAGTGTCCCTTAAAAATAAAGGAACAGTAGCCTCTCCCTTTAGAAATCATTAATAGTAATCTATGAAGGATTTTTTTGGTATACATAGGAACTTTTTAGTATCACATGTCTGATAAAATGCCACAGGTTTATTTGAGGGGATTCCACCATAACATTTTCCATGGTTTTCAAATATGCATGCTATTGTATTACCTGTTAGATAAACACATACAAGTAAGAGGGGAGATAATAATAGTTTCCATTTTATAATAATGCTAACTGCTCAAGCTTTAAAAAAAATACTTAAATAGGACATGATTTTACTTGTAGTTCAAAATAAAGATGTTTGGCACTTCAAAATAATGAAGTATCAGATCACTGCACACACACAAACTTGAAACCTCATATAAGCATAACGCTTTTTCAAACTATTTCCTCTTTCATTTTCCTGCCTAAATGCTCAGGATAACAATTTACAAAAGTTTTAGCAGTTCATAAAATCACAAAGAAAGAAAAATACATGAAGTTAATTAAATATATTCTTCTCTTCCACTACAAAAAAAATTACTAATTACTTTTGCTACTTCATTGGCAATTTATCTTGTATGCTGTGCTTCACAGGCAACAACATATAGTAAAGGATATTTTAACCTTGGAGAAAAAGAGATACACAGGATTAGCAAGCAAGAGGGCAAGACAAAAGGGGAATGGGCATACTTGAAGGGAAATAGATAACCAAATATTGTATTGGTAATTTTAAACATTTGGAATGCTATGATGGCAAAATCACCAAACTGATCCACAAGACATAGTGAATATGGAATTAGAAACAAAGTTTTTAATGTTTTTTAATATTTAAAGTTACGTATTGTAAGATTTCAGACAAACAAAAGTGTTGTGTTTTTAAAAACCTTAATTTAAAGTTATTTAGAAGTTATGCACAGGATAGCACTGAAAGTGAATTTGATTAAATAGACAAAAAGAAGAAATGAAACCCGTTTGTCTGTTTCAATTGTTTTAACTGAGAAAGATACAAGAAATGACTCATTTAGGTAGTGGAAGATATTTATAAATGCATTGTGTTTACTTGAACGATTCTTCTAATTTGCATTTGCATTGTCTGGGCTCAAACTAAGCAAATAGAGCCTAATTAGAACTTGGATAACAGAGCCTGAAAATTCCATGTGTGTTTGTTAAACTTGGAAATTGAAAAAAAACAACAAAAAAACCCAAAAGCAGTATTAACCCGCTTCTATATTGTTGCCAAGAAAACTACACAGACATGTCTCTGAAATCTCCAGTAAAGCAGCTCATCTTGAAGAGACTTTTCTTTTTTTTCTTTTTTTTGGTGCGGGAGGGAGGTTGTTTTGAAATATATGACTCAGTGTGCACTCCAATATATCCCTAAAATTCCTATGTAAAATAATTGAGCTTTTCTAAAAATACTAACCACAACTTGGCTTCCTCCTTTCACATTTTTACCACGTTTACATTTTGCCACTCATTCTTTCAGTAACTGAGCTGACTAGCTGATTATTTCTCCCCCGCCCCCTCCAGGCACACACAAAAGTAGGGCTACCATATCTAGTCTGCAAAACCCCCCAAAAGATTACTGGATGATAGCAAAGAAGTTTTGGTAAACATGTCTGAAGTTCTGCAGCCTACCAGACCTAATGAAGACGAAACTCAAACTACTTCTAAGATATAAATACACAGAAGCATATATTCTTCATTGGTGAGAAATTGGGGAGTTGCATATTCAAGCAAGGTGCACATCTTAGCTGAATCTGTGCATGCAGCCTCTTTCTTGAAATAACTTCTTTTAAATCTGATTTTTCCCTCTTAAGAAGCTGATTAAGTAAGGTTTTTGCTGTTTAAAACATATCAACATTCACTGTACCAGGAGTGATACACAGGATTTTGGAACAGAGTCTTTGCTTGTAGAGTAATCTTAATTCTATGCATGCTTCTTCACAATATTTCCTTTTTTGGTTTATGAAAGAATGCCAATTCTTCTGAGCGTATCCTAGTAGCCATGCGTTGGGGGCTAGTTCCATCTTGGTTCAAGGAAGCTGACCCATCTAAAATGCAGTACAACACTTCCAATTGTCGGAGTGATACCATGATGGAGAAATTCTGCTATAAGGTTAGTTGTATAATCTTCAGTTTGGGGGGAAAAGTCTTTGTCTCCTTCCAACCATGACCTTCATGACTTTTGGGTTACACATGAAAACTGGAGCTTTGTTTAAAATACCGACATCAAGATGCTGCAAACTCTACATCTTATTTTTTTTTTCTGAAACAGGAAAAGCCCTGTTAGTGACACCATTTCAAATGCTTGTCAGAACGAAATATTGACTTTTGAAACAGGCCCGTAGAACTGCAGTAGGATAAATAAGGCCATTAAAAACTAATATAAAGGCTGAATATAATTACTTTTTTCTATAATGTTCTTTCCTTTTTTGAAGGATCAGATTATTATATAACAATTAAATAGAATCAGGAAATTATATACACATGAATAAGGAAATACAATAGATATCCTCCTAAAAAGTTAATTCTCTTTGTTCTTCTTATAGCAGCAAGTAACCTCAAGTTTGATCTATAATGACTTGGTGGCTTAACCATTATTGTGGGAAACTGCTTTTAGTTATTTCTGGTCTAGTTTCTCCAATTGCAACTTCCTTCCTGTTTTTCCCAGACCTCCAAGAATTAGAGTAGGGAGATATAAAAACAAGAACTGCTGCAATATAATGTAAACAATGAGGTTCTTAAGCCTTACTTGCTGTTTTATTGGTATAATTCTGGAACATGAATAAAATCTTCAGAAATTCTCATTAGGGAGCAAAATCCCATCAAGAACAAACCAAAGTAGAAAATACCTTAATCCTCAGATAATTTATGAATCTGGAAACTGATTTCATAATTCAAATTTGAAGTGTAAGTTATTGAATAAACTGGGAGCCCCAGTATAATCATGTTTACTCCGGAACCTCCTGTTCTTGTTTGTAAAAGAAGCCTTATTCTAAAAAGAAAGTTGGTATTCTGAAGAATTCTGGCTTTGCATTCTGACTAAATATGGCCTTCAAGATTTATTAACCACAAATTTGTCTGATGAATAAGGAGGCCACCAGTGTTCATGCTGCAGAAAATTCAGAACAGTTAGCAAAGATTAGCTAATGGGGAGGGTTTCCATTCTTCATTTCAAACAAATCACTCCTGTATTTTAAAAGTGATCCAGTGTTTATTTTCAGACAACACTGAATGTTATATGGAGGTCAAAATAGTGTAAAATTACAACTTTGCACCAATCTGGATTTGAAGGAGAGATGGCAAGGTGAAGCACGGGTGTAGCCCCTCTTTAAATCATATGTAGTAGTCCTTGTCCTGGGATTGAATGGCAGTGGTTAAGCAAACACAGCAACTCTGCAGCAATTATTGACAGATGCTATGTGAGTGTTTCTGTGCACTTTGAACTACCTTTCACACTTTGAATTGCTGCACGGTCCTAATGAAAACTTAGAGTGAACTCATATTCTTGCTTGGAATATGATTTTGCAGCCTGCCCTCTGAGATAGTATTATAATCTACCAGCAATAATGCATTTGAAGTTAGCATTGAATACATTGCTATTAATCCTGCTCCTCTCTTTTTCTAAAGGTACCTCTTTCAAAAGGTAAACGCTGTGTGGTGCTGGCCGATGGCTACTATGAATGGCGACAACATAATGGACAAAAGCAGCCATATTTCATTTACTTTGCCCAAACTGAGCAGGAAATGGTATAACATCAGGGGTGGGATTCAAATTTTTTAACAACCGGTTCTGTGGGCGTGGCTAAGTTGGTGGGCATGGCTTGGTGGTCATGTGACTGGCTGGGTGTGGCCAACTCAATATCACTCACATTAAGGCACACATATCCTCACCTGACCTCATGACTGTGGGGATGCTGCAACAGTTGTAAGTGTGAAAAATGGTCATAAGCAGGGGTGGGATTCAAATTTTTTAAGAACCAGTTCTATGGGCGTGGCTTAGTTGGTGGGCATGGCTTGGTGGTCATGTGACTGGCTGGGCGTGGCCAACTCAATATCACTTACATTGAGGCACGCATCTCCTCACCTGGCCTCTCATGACTGTGGGGATGCTGCAACAGTCGTAAGTGTGAAAAATGATCATAAGTCACTTTTTTCAGTGCCATTGTAACTTTGAATGGTCACTCCACACAAGCAAAGTACCAGTAAAGGAGGAAAAAAAACTCCAGAGAAGTTCCAGAGACAGGAAGTCTAGTCCTGCCAAGAATGTAATAAGGGTTAATGGAGAGGCAGTTTCTGTAAGCAACACCAGAATGTTTCCTTCCTGTCTTCCTTACAGGATTAGGCCAGTCATTTCTTCTAACAACCAGTTCTTCGAACTGCTTAGAATGTTAACAACCTATTCTAGTGAATAGGTGCGAACTGGTAGAATCCCACCCCTGTATAACATTATTGCAATCGTTGTATTTCATGCTGATGTTTCATTGATATTTTTAAAGCTATCCCATAAAAGATTATTGATACTACTATTAATATTAGATTTGTCAGACAGAAATGGGTGGAATTGTGCCTTTACACTTTCCCCTTTTTGTCATAGCTGCTGCAACTCAGGTTGAGGATGGTCATATATGATCCTGCTTGCTTAAAGGCTGTTGAGTTGAGGAAATGTGGTATTCCTAAGCATACATTCTACTTCTTGAAACACTTGTTTTGAGTCTCGGCATTTAACAATTCCAAATGGTAAACTCTGCAATAACCTGGCAGTTATACACAGATCAGCTTGACATTTCCAGGACAGTTTAGAATAATGAATAAAATGTATTGCTAAAAATACCATAGCATGAATAAAAGTACACAATGTGAGAAACATCTGGAATGACAAACTGGGCTTTTTGCCTAGCATCTAAAGTAACAGACACAAAGCAAAATTCCCTGAGGAATGGTGGTAATACAACTAAAATCGAGCTGTGGTGGCGCAGTTGTTAGTATGTACTGTAGTATTGCAGGCTAACTCTGCCTGCTGCCAGGAATTCAATCCTGACCATCTCAAGGTTGATTCAGCTTTCCATTCTTCTGAGGTCGGTAAAATGAGGACCCAGATTGTTGGGGACAATATGCTGACTGCTGAGAGGGCTGTAAAACACTATGAAGCGGTATATAAGTCTAAGTGCAATTGCTAAAATTATTAACATTCCTTCATATCACAAGGTAAACTTGGAAACAGGCTAAGTTGTAAACAGCTTATCAGATAAAGTTATTTGAATTGTATTCTGAAATCAGTAATGGAGATAAATTCCCGGCACCAGAGTTTAGCTACTGAAAATTGATAATTATTTGTGAAGACATTTTTTAATGATATTCCATTTTTGAGCAGTCTTCAAAGACAACATATGATATTATGTAGTAATCTAAGAAATTATCAGAGCCTGGACTGGCAAACAGATTTAATTTGGGTAGTTCACAAGCTTAATTTATAAAACGCATTCAGTGTTAGAAGAACCATTTTATTCTCTAGTGTCAAACCTCAGTGGTAGGCTGCAAATTTTAACAACCGGTTCTCTGGCTGGGTAGGCATGGCCAGTTGGTCATGTGACTGGGTGGGTGACATTACTCATCATACCCAGCCCTGCGTCCCACCCACTCGCCTCAAAGAGGTAGGATTCAGCCGGTTGGAGTTAATCCCACCACTGGCTGGCCCCGCCTCTGCCCATTTTTTGCCTGTTTTGGGGCCATTTTCAGGCTGTTTTTGGCCCAAAATATGGCCTGAAAATGTGTTCTGACCCATGCCCCTTTTCAACAAATCAAAGTCAATCCAAAAGGAACAGAAAACTTGTAATGCTTTTACAAAATAATTAGCTGTGATGAGCACATCTTGCCAAACAGTGCAAGACTTGCCAAAAGATAACAGACAAGAAATAATTTGCAAAATAAGAATCTTCAAATGCAAACTCAGGATACTGGAACGTCCACGTGGCTGGAGTTTCAAAATGTCTTTGCCTTCTGCAAAGAAGGTTAGTTTCACAGCTGGCTTTTATCTTCTTGAAGGAGGGGCCATTACCTTGCAGCCTTACTCATCGCCCGTGCTGTTGTAACTGTTCTTTCCTCCGAGCAATCCTGCGCTCATGTGCACTTAGCACAGGCTCCTTGGAAACCTCCCCATCACTGCTCCCAGCCCCCACAATCTCTGAAGGCAGCAGTCCACTCACTAATTGGCCTGGCCCCTCATCTGAGTCCTTGCTCTCCTCAGCCATTGTGCACCTGCTGCCGGCTAGCCACAACAAAATGCCCCCAAACCCAGGCTGTTTTGGGGGCTGTTTTGCAGGCTGTTTTTGGTCCAGAAAATGGCCAAATATGGCCTGAAAAACAGCCTGAAAGCAGCCCCAAAACAGGCCAATTTTCAGGCCGTTTTCTGGGCTGTTTTTTCAGGGCATTTTTCAGGCGTTTTTCAGGCCCCAAATGGCCTGAAAACAGCCCAAAAAAGGCCCAAAAACCAGGGTTAAAAATGGGCGGGGGCGGGGCCAGCCAGTGGTGGGATTTGCCGGTTTGCCGAATGTGCTTAATCTTAACTAACGGTTCGCTACAACTGGTGCAAACCGGCAGCAGCCCACCTCTGCAAAACCTTGAGTTATGAGTTAAATTTTAGTTATTGTGATATAATTATTCAGCAGTAATAGATTCAATAATAATTTTGATTTTCCATGCAATTATAATGTTGTTAGTTAAGGACTTATAAACAGAAGTTTATTTACAAGAAGAGGAGGATAAGAGATCTAAAGTTGTGGTATTTGTCTGCTTAAAAGTGACCCTGTTGCTGTTAAGGGTTTTTTTTTTTTAATGTATTGTCTTTTCATTTGCAGTTCACCAAACCAGAAATGGAAGATGAGGTTGAAGATTCAAAAGGGAGAAAGCTGCTTACCATGGCTGGAATTTTTGATTGCTGGGAGCCCCAGAACGGAGCAGAACCATTGTACAGTTACAGTATCATCACAGTAAACGCATCTGAATGTGTAAGATCCATCCATCACAGGCAAGAGAGACTTCACTAGAGAGCGCTTCTAGAACATACTGAAAAATGGAGAAACTGAAAAATAATGTTTCATAAATTGCATTTCCTCTTATCTAATTTTTTTGATTTACCAGATAGTGTGCTTATTTTTAAATATAAAAATCAGAATATGAAATGTTATATATTCCTATAAGATGGAGGCTTCTTATAAGATGCTTATATGAAATAGGCATCTGTGGTGATTTCTGTATGATTTATTCAAATAGTAGTAATCATTAAGCTTTGTTCCAAACCTTCTATATTGTTTGGTCAGTTTCATCCTTGGAGAAATTGAACTTTTAATGAAGGTGTTGCAATAGAGACCTTTTTTTTTTTTTTGGCTGAATTTGATTTTTAGAATCTGGTTCATACTGATGTTTGGCCTTATTTTCTATTATTAGATTGTGGACTAGTTCAGATGTTTCTTTCCATTATTAAAATCTATGTCTTTCTACTTGTCTAGAATGCCAGCTATTCTGGATGGGGACGAAGCAGTTAAAAAATGGCTTGACTTTGCAGAAATACCTGCAGAAGCAGCCCTTCACCTTATCCAGCCAACAGAAAACATTGCCTTCCATCCCGTGTCAACAATAGTGAACAATTCCCGAAATAATTCATCAGAATGCATTTTACCTATTGAATTGGATCCCCCAAAAGTATGTTTGCATTTCCTTTTCTAGGATATATTTCCAACCTCCTGATCGATTTTACAGCCCTGTAATTTTATAGCGGTCTCCCCTCCAGATATTAAGCATGGCTGACCCTGCTTACATTCTGAGATTGACTAAGCTACTGCTACCTGCTTTTAGGCTAAGCATCTCTAGGTAAAAGTAAATGTCGCATTGATGTTACTGGTTGATTTGGACAGCATGAAATTCAAAGATGGAGGTGCATGTACATCTTCTGCATCTGTATTCTCTTTAGCGGTTCATAGGTAAAATTATTATTTCAGGGTCTCCATCAAACTTTCCTGGATAAATTGGGCTGTGTGATCCTGATAAACTGAAATTGCCCTCTTCAGATATAAATTTGTTTTTTTGGGTGGAGTGGTTTGGGAATCTTTTTTCTTTTCAATGCAGGTAACCATTGACTTGTAACCAGGGGTGGGCTTCAAAAATTTTAGCAAAGGGTTCTCTGCCCGGTTGCTGGGTGGGCGTGGCCATGGTGGGCGTGGCCTAGTTAGCCTCCTGCACCATGGTGGAGGGGTGTTTTTGCCCTCCCTGGGCTCCGGAGGCTTTCTTTGAGCCTCCGGGAGGGTGAAAATGGCCTCCCTGGGTTCCAGAGGCTGTCTGGAAGCCAGAAATGGGCACATTTCCGGGCTTCCCAAACTTCCGGGAGGCCCATTTTTCACCCATCCCAAGCCTCCGCGTGCCCCCTGTACTTACCTGCATCCAAAATGGGCCATGTGGGGATTCTTGGGAGGGCGGGGTGCGACCAGCCAGGAGTGGGATTTGGGGGGTTCTGTGAACTGCACAGAATCTTAGCTAGGGGTTCTCCCGAAACCCCAGCAGCCCACCCCTGCTTGTAACCATCCATTTAGTGACTGCTCAAAGTTATAACGGCACTGAAAAAAGTGACTGATGACTGTTTTTCGCATTTACGACCATTGTAATATCCCCATGGTCACATGATCAATATTTGGACACTTAGCATATTTATGACGGTTGCAGTATCTCAGGGTCACCTTTGCGACCTTCCCGACAAGCAAAGCCAGCTTCACTTTACAGCTGTGTCACTAACACTGTGATTCATTGAACAACCGTGGCAAGAAAGGGGGAAAAGCCCACTTAACAACTGTCTCACTTAGCAATGGAAATGCTGGGCTCAATTGTGGTCATATTTTTCATTTCACCAAGTTGGAATTGTGACACGAAACAAATATCAAGATTCACTAGACTGTGGATGGACTAGTCATAAAAATCTTACTTTGTATCTTCCAGAATACTAAGATTAATGCAAGCAGCACAGTAATGCTGAACTGGTTAAAAAACAAAGGCCCCAAGAAAAGCGATAAGGATGAAGACAGTTTACCAAAGTGGTCCAGCCAGTTCATCCAGACATCACCGTGTAAAAAAACTAGCATGGACTTAATGCACCAGTGGCTCAAAAAAGATGGAGAACCTTCTGCAAAGCAACTGAAAAAACAGTGATAATTTGGTTCTATTGCTTATTACCAAAGAGGGTCTTATGCGTTGAGTTATTGCAATATTTAGATCTCCTGATTTAGATTGTAATACAGGTATAATCTATAAATAAATTATAAGACTTCAGATATGCTTCCTTCCTGATGCCGAGTAGATGGGCTTTGACATTAAACACTTAGTTTCTTTTATCTGAAACAAATAGGATATATAGATGTTAAGTGCAGCATTGACTTGACCTTGCCAATTTTGAAAAGGCAATAGCTTTTCAAAATATATAAGAAGTGAAGGATTTAAAGTTTTTTTTTCTCCTCCAAGGACAGAAGCAGAGATTTGGTTTGTCATGGTTACCATCATAGTATTCATTCAATTCACTTTGTGGGTTGCTTCGTCTTTTATGGAAAAAAATAGGCCACTGTTAATGCTGGAGATTTCTTGCTGCACAGTGAGAATGATAATTTATTTTGGTCTGAAACCAGTTCAAATGTTTGCCCTTTTTCATCTGCTTTGGAAGATGTGGAATATCATCTGCAAGCAATATACAAATATAATTCCTACTGGTTGAGAAGCTATTCCAAACGGATGTTGTTTCACTAATTTGGATTTACTATACGTTCTAAACCTTTGATAGTATTGTTTAACAAATTCATCAAAGCTATAATGATCAGGCCAGTATTTTGAATAGGTGGTAAGAGAATAGCAAGGAAGAGAGAAAGAACTTTAGTCTTGTTTTTTGGGAAAGTGAAGATAGGTAGTTGGCTGTATTAAGGATAACTGGATATTTAGGAAAAAATGCAAGATGGTAAACTAAAGCTTTATAGGGTCAAGAGAGAAAGACAAAATGTTAGCTGCTTATGTGGAGTCACACTGGACTCAAGACAAGTGTTGCTATTCATCCTAAGAGACATCAGGACTACTATTATCAAAAGGATGGGTGATTAAAATGGTACTTCAGAAGATAAATCCAAAATAGGCCTAAAATTCATGCAGATGTATATTCTTCACAAAATCCTGGGCCAAAAAGAGGGGAGAGTATTTAATTTTTTTTAAAAGATACTTGGTTATATGATCATTCATTTTATTAGATATGCAGAAAAATTATTCAAAGTTCCTTTGAAATGCATGAAATTCTGTTCACTAGAAATAAGAAGGCAAATCTGGGATATTTTAAAGGTTTTAATACATAAACAATGCTGGTAATATAAATAAAGATTTTGTTCAGAGTTAAAATTCTTTTGACATTAATTTCTAACCTGACAACAGCTTTAGAAATCAAAAAGCATTTAGCTATCTCATTGTTTGCACACATACAATTCCTACTAAATACAGTAAAATACAGTTTTCAGGGAAAGTTTACTGCAACATCTCCCTTATTTTGATATTTTATAAAAATGTACGGTCAGTAATATAATCAGAATTCTGGGCATTTGATTATTCAGTGCAGAAAGTATTCCAAATCGTGAAGAGTTTGTGATTTTGCACCAATTCATGTTATAACCATTTTGAACATTCTGTAGTTTGTGCTATCCCTTATAGGCTTCTTGTACCATCATTGGGAATGATGCAGGACTGTCTTTCCAATTATTTAAGAATGGCTACAATTGGAACTGAAGAAAACAGGACTATTGTCTATAATCAGCTTGCTAAGATCTCCTTATTGAGAGAAGTTTAGGTCACTATCGGATGGAGTTTCTCCATGGTTTTTGCACAATAGTGACAAGCTTCAAAAAAATAATCCAGAGTCCAAGCTAAAAAATGTCATGGCCGTCTGTTTTCATGAATGGAGACCTTTTGTAAACACTTCCTTTGAAAGCTCAGGTGAACCTTTTTGGCCATTGCAATAGTTTTATGTAATTTGATTATGCGTGTGCTAATTTATAGTAATGGGAGTAGGGAGAAGAGTCTTCAATATTAGTTGTACATCTGGTAATTATAATTTTACAATGACTGCAGGTGTTGCTGAAATAGCTGCCTGGAGAAAAAAAATCTGTGCATTACTGAGCAGCTGATTGTATTTCTCCCTGCTTTTTAATAGCCCAGTTTATTGAATTATTCCAAAATTTCTCATCCTGAATAGCAGTTTGTTATTTTAGTTAGTTCCAAAAATTCAAGAGCTCAAAGTGATGTACTTAGAACTCCCTGTTTTTCTTAACAGCAATCCTCTGAGGAAGATTGGGCGGAGAGATACTTGAATACACTTCACAATTTGTAATAGTAGGACATGGTAGACAAACTTATAAGTAAATCATGCAGTAAAGGTAAAAATTGCCTGCACATGCTCCATGCATGCTAGTCATTTCTAGCTCTAGTGGAGCTGATCCAATCAGCTGCTCATGCTAAATAAGGCTGTGTTGAAGCTGACCAGGCGCTTTGCTGCAAGTAAGCAAATTGCTGGGAGGCAGACGCAGATTTTTTTTTCTTGTTTTTCTCCCCAAAAGCTAGATGCCTCTTATGGTCTGGAACATCTTATAATGCAAAAAATACAGTAATCATATATTAATTGTCCCCAATGTCCAATCTGGCATTTGATCAGATATTTTATTATGATTATGATTGGCTGCACAGTCAGCCAGGTGTTTAGATTGGATGAGTCCTCAAAGATCTGGGGATAGAGAGATGTTTAACTGTGTTAAAGGTATTGTTCAGGACATAACCAGTTCCAAGCAGAGCTTCCTTTTGCAATTGACTGATGGTAGTTCTGAAAGAAACCAGTACATTATTCTTTTGCCATTCTCTAAGTCTGTGGGTCTGGTGGGAAAGAATAACTTTTCATTTCCCCATATCCATATGCCATTTTAAATGCAATTCCTTCTCCTTAGCAGCATGATTTCAAACTCTGAAAAAAAGCACATTCAAGAGTCCTGTGACTTTAACAGTCACAAAACTTCTGCTAAATGTGTATGTCTATTTATCTCCCCTGCTTCTCGACTGAGCAATCAATCTTTGCAAATATCCAAGCCACAGCTATTATAAAATTAAGTTTCCAGAAGGCAAACTAAAACTGGGCCGGCACATGCAGTTTGTTCAGATATTGCACAAATAAATACAAATTGGAATAAACCCTTTCATGTTAGCCTACAAGTTTTGTGACAAACCAGACAAATCTGTAAAGTTAGGCAATACTCATCCTACGTATACATTTGCACTTGGGCCAGTTAACCACGAGCTGGGGAAGAGAAACAAAGTTATCCTGGAAATTTGGCGTGGCATTGAAGGAAATACCCTACTTCACCGCCTCTTACTCTACTGTCCCAAAGGTGCTTTTTCAGGAGGCAACTGAACTTTCTTGCTTTTTCTTTTGAAGATGTTGAGCTTCTCATCCCAACCACGACCTGGATGACTGAGAATCTCTACAGACTTTTAATGCTTCAAGGCAGATTGGCCACTCCAGATGACAATGCACTAGAATGACAATGCCAAAGAAAGTGGTTTTCTCTTTCTTCAGCTCTTTCTGTCATTCTGCCGAAGACCTGAAGTCTCAACAAAGGTTGCAACTCCCACACCTCAATATACTTGTTAATCCTGAGGGGTCCTTGGTGCTCTCTGAGCTTTTCTTGCAGACGTTTCATTTGCCCAAACTTGGTGCTTAAAGAATTTTCATCATTAATTTCACAACACATAAAGACAGATTTCACCATAGTTTCAGTTGGGAAAAGGTGACCATCCTAGACCAAGCCAAGTCCAAAAACACTAGGGAATTTCTAGAAGCTTGGCACTCTGACAATTCAGCCATCAATAGGCACATAGCCATTAACATCTATAGACCATGCAAAAAAGAGACTTATCACCCAGGAACAAAAAGACCCAAGAACCTCTCCACCAGCAATCAGCACCCAGATCAGCATAGATTAACTCCAAGGTTTACATCAAACCGACAAGACCAATCAAGTAAGCAATACCCCAATCAAGAAACTGCCAAAGAAGCCAACAGCAAACAGCCCGATCAAAAGAATCTCGTAAGACTGCCGCCACCACCAATACTGACAGGCAAGTCACCAGAATATAAACTGACAGCAAACAGCACTCCTTACTACAGTAGCACTGATGATGTTTCCTAGTTTGGGTAATGAAACGTCTGCAAGAAAACAAGCAAGGACCCCCCCTCACGTCTACCCTGAACTACAAAATATTCCCCACTATTAATACTTAATCCTTTTGCGCGCGCATCCAGGTCTTTCGCTCTGCAGCTGCCCGAGTTCTCAGCCGAGACCGAATATGGAGGACGCGAGCTACTATGCAAATCAGAGATCGGAGGGCCCGCCAATAAGAGCGCAGCTCCGCTCTCTTAGCCGCCCAATGGGAAGCCAGCGAGAGGATGCGCTTGGATTTATATCCTTCAGCGTCTCGCGCTTGTTGTCATTGCAGCTGCGGCTCTTCGGCGGCCCCCGTGGAAGCAACCAACGGTAAAGTGGGTGGGGTGGGGGGGGGGGGGGGGGGAGGCCAAGGAGAGCTAAATCGGGGCGGGTGGATCGGGGTCATGAGATCGGGTTGAGGCGGCGGGTGGGAGGAGTGTGGAATGCGCGGCGTCAGCGTCCTCATGCCGCTCTTCGAGTCGCCCCCCGCCTCCCCTCCGCCGCTGTGCTTACGCGGGTGTTATTTTTCCCCGTTATCCAGACGAGGCCGTTTCTGCCTGCCTGCTTTGCAACCGGGGGGTCTCGGCGCCTTAGCTCTGACCGAGCGCCCAGCCTCGCCTCGTTATGTCCGGCCGGGGTAAATCCGGAGGGAAAGCCAGAGCCAAAGCCAAGTCTCGCTCCTCTCGAGCCGGCCTCCAGTTCCCCGTCGGGCGAGTGCATCGGCTGCTGCGGAAGGGCAACTACGCGGAGCGGGTGGGCGCCGGAGCACCTGTTTATTTGGCCGCCGTGCTCGAGTACCTCTCGGCTGAGATCCTGGAACTGGCCGGCAACGCTGCGCGGGACAACAAAAAGACCAGGATCATCCCTCGGCACCTGCAGCTGGCCATTCGCAACGACGAGGAGCTCAACAAGCTGCTGGGCGGGGTGACGATCGCCCAGGGTGGGGTTCTGCCCAATATCCAGGCCGTGCTGCTGCCCAAGAAGACCCAGAGCTCCAAGAAATGAAGCCGGTTGCCTGGTTAAAGGAAAGCGCTCGCCCGTTTGTTTCCTTGCGCCCCACCCATAGGATCTGGTGCAGCGGCCACCGGACATTTTGTCCTGCCTCCCTTCCGCGTCACTTGGTGCAGCCCAGTACCGGGCAGGTGATTTCTTCACCGCATCGTCTGTCCTGGTGCAGCCGGCGCTGAGCTATCCCCGCTCGCCCTTTTCCTGCTATAACCTGATCCTGAACCCTCTTGCCTCTCTTCTCAATCCTCCTTCCCATGGGGCCTGCCTGCCCGCCCGCCCGCCCGCTCCACGTCTCGGTGCTGCTGGTGCTACAAAACCGCCTGGGTTCCTCGTGCGCTTCCTCGCCTGGCCCAGCGCTGAAGTCCCCTGCTCCTTTTCGATGCTGAAGACTTGAGGTGGGAAAGAGCGGCCGTCATTTTTCGTGTCACCGGAAAGGGCACGTGCTTTGGGCCTGGCTGCCATCTAGCGCCTTGCAAATAGATTATTTCTTCGTCCCCCCTCCTTTTCTCTGGGACGACTGAGCCTGACATCCCATTGCCTTGGAAGCTGTGTGTTCTACAGCGGCAGCGATTGGAGTGGGGGGGGATGGGGAAGCAGGGGTTTTATTTTGCTCCCTTAAATCGCTTTGATTGTTCTGGAGAAGAGGAGGGGGTAGGAGGAAATATTTTTTGACACTAGAATGATCTGCATTTTTTTTTCCCATGGAGAACTAAACAAAAAACGGGAGTCATGGAGATGAGAAAGTCATGAAAGCAGCACAGGCCAACATTGGGAAGGCAAGAAACTGCTTCTACAATAGGCCTCACTGTGTGACAATGCTGATTTTATATCTCTTTCTGTACCGAAAAGGTGAAAGTATACAGAGGAAGGAAGGGTTGGCCATTGCATTACACCAACACTCAACCTAATCTCTTCAAACTGTGAGGTCCCAGACCTGGAGATGATGGATCGATCTCTCTGATGTTG